ACAAGATAATTCAATTTTTATAATTTAGGTAAACATGGAACGGAAATATCGCTTAAATTGAGAGATGACTGCGTGTTTGCGTACATTTAGAAAAAAAAAAAAAAGAAGAAAACAAAAGAGTGAATAAAATGAAAAAAAATTTGTGGCGGGAAAATGTTAACTATGCACATGCAACAGGTCTAAATGAATATCAAGTATATCTAATCTATATAGGTAACGTAATGCATCGTATGCAATGTCATGCGCCAGAAGTCATAAAGTCCACCATGTGATTATTTTTGGTGGAACAAAACAAAACGTGACACAATTTTCAGGAAAATGCAAAAACAAAAACCATAATAATAATGACGTCATAATGGATTCCACAAGGTGAGATAAATGTGTATATAATAACACAAACACATACTTTTAGATATAATGACGATAATAATGATTATGACGATTATGATGATTATGATGATTATGATGATGATGATGATGATGATGACGTTTATAATATCTAATATATATTCTATGCGAAATGCATTTACACGACGAGTATCCTGGGTGATGCGATAACTATGAGGAAAACAGTAGAGAAGAGAACGTGACCGTATTAACACACTAAACAAATTGTGGTGCGAGTGCGATAATAAGAAATATTTTCTGGTATTATTTCTTGTTTTTTTTTTTTTTTTTGTTTATATGTATTCATAACATATATTTGGGCATTTAATTATTTAACTGAATGGATATATTAAAAATTTAATATATTGTTTATGTGTGTGCAGGAGTGAATACAATGAAGGATAAACAGATTAATAAAATAAAATACTAAATAAATATTTGTATAAATTTCATCTAATATTGAAAACGGAAATCGAAAGAATTTCAATTGAAATCATATCATAACTTTGCCTGTCGAGTCAGACCAATTAATAAATGCCATAAAGCAGGTGTAATCGTTTGTGTGCGTACGTGTGCATAAACCTTTATGTAATTAACTTGTGTTGTCTTTAAGCGTTTTTTTAGCAACAATTAAATGCATTCATATGATGTACAATACTATATATACTTTACTATTGTACTATTGTAGAAAAACCGAAGCAACGATTTGCAAGTTTTCTTGAGTGACATGCATTGTTCGCATATATGTTGCGTTTTAAATATCAATTATGCGTAATTGTTTTGTGCTTAGCAAGTTCAGTGCATATGTGTACTGTCAGTTGCAAAAAGCAAATAAAGCAATATTTGTATATTTCCATAAAGAGTACTTTATAGTTTATCGTATAAAGGAATGCTTGGCCGATATGCTTTCGCATCAGCGTGATATATAGAGTGAAGTAAACGTAAATTAAGCAAACAACTCTACTGGAAATTAATATTAACTGCATTTAAATCAATAAATAGACAGCACAAGCAACAAATTAAAATTGTAAAGCTTGCAAAGTTGTTTAGCAAACAATATTGAGCATCGAATAAAATGAAAGAAATAAGTAATTATTTGAACATATGGAGCACTAATTAAAGCTGTTGAATAAATTGACACAAAATGCGATCCGAAATCGTTCCAATAAGAAAACCAACTCATAAATAAATGTAAACAAACATTAATTGCTTAATATTATTCTGCAAAATAGGCAAAGCGTGTCCAGTGTTAGATACAATTATCGTTGATTCTATTGTCTTGAATTGAATACATGAATATAAGCAGAGCGTGTTCTTAAACTTGACAAGTAACACCGTTTGACGATCTTATTTGAAATTGATGAGATGCAATAGCCAAAGATATTGTATTATAATTAACTTTCTCGTTTAAAAGCAGGAGCAGTCGGTGTAGAAAATTTCATTCCATCCGTAAATATTACATATACCGTCTGTGAATTCGAACAGAGAGAATTCGAGAAGAGAAAACAAAAACACTCATTTAACTGGGCACGAAATTCAACGAAACGCCATAAAATCGATTTGACAACATTCGTCTGTCCATTTAACTTTCTTTGTTATCAAAATTATTCTTTTGATACCAAGCGCCCAAAAATTGTTCCTCAAATCGAAGACTATTTTAGAGCAAACGGCCCGCTAAGAACTCTTACAGCGCCACTGAGATTGGAAATGGCGTATAAAGGAAATTTACAGCCACATCGCAGCCAAATTATTTCGATAGTCAAACGAGACTCTTTTTGAAATCTAGTTTTCATCCATACAGATATGTTGTGCATATATCTCCATCCTTTTAAAATGTCTACAAACTGCTAGTCGAAGTTATATAACCCGATGGAACTGAATCAATTAATGTGTTAGCTGCCCGGTGAGATTTTAGACTTTCGAAATCGATTTTTTCTAATATTGAATTCAATCAATTCTTTTTTTTTTTTTTTTTTTTTTTTTGGAAGCGAAAGCCAATTTTGATTCGAATTGATCCTAAGCTCAGAAAACAACACACGGCCTTATTGTCATTTCTAAAGTAAGAATTAGGCTCAAGACTAACTTAAAAGTTGTTATAGAACCGTTTAAAAGTCCAAGATGAGTGAGTTTCTCATATGCCATCTGAACTTGGCTCTTTTCTGAGGTTTATTAATAATCTCGCAAACAATGGTTTCACCCATCTGCCGTTATAGTCAGCTTATTCATTTACTTGGAAAGGAAAACAAAAAAGAAAAAAAAAAAAATTTGAAAACACACACATTTGGATTGAGTAATCATAAAGCCATTCAAATCCAAAGATTTATGCAGCTATTGTCGTGATGAAGCATCATTATATGCTTGTAATGATCATCTTCACACAATCATATAAAACATAGCATTCAGAGATTAATGCTCAAAACAGTTACGCCATCAGATTTATATTTCATTTCTAAAATGTTCTTTAAATAATCTCATTTTAGTAAAGAGATTTCTTTGCTATATGCAAATACTCAGTATAATTTAATGGCAAGTACTGCTTAAGCTTATTTGATGCTGTACGGTTGCTTTTCTAAGAAATCTAATAATTGATATTAAAAATGGCTTTCGTCAGTTCGCATACGGGGTAACGGAATACGGTCTAATACGATATATTACGGGCGGTAGCAATCGCAAACGTGCATCAGAAATTCATTAAGGTACATATGCATACTTATATAGATATTGCATAGTATATTCTTAATCAGCTTGAGGCTCACATTTATCCGCCCATCCATCGATTACTATTCATCTCTTCATCTATTAACTAACTCTAGAGAATCATAGGTGCCAATATATGCGTATTGAATTTTCTCACTTGTCCTAAACGACATTCGTTTAGACCTCTATTTTATGGAGATAATAATAAAATTTGCTCGGAATTGACGAAAAATCTTCCTTAAGCGAATCGAAGCGATTACATAGCATTTTAGTGACATATTGTATATCATTTGCATTTTACTGCATTTTCTTATTTTTTTTTGTAGCATGCGATCTTTTTGCTTTATCTTAGCATATTGATAATCTAATTATTACAATTTATTAAAGACCTGTTTTTTCTTTCTCTTTCAAACGCAATAACAGGAATTACAATAAATCGACTTAGTTGTTGAAAATAACATGAATCGATGGGAAAACTTGCATAAAACCAGACAGTTTAAATAGAATGCGTTTTAAGGGGAATTTTTCAAAATAACGTCCACTAATTGCCTACGCTTGGCTCACATTCCATTAATGATGCTTGGCAATCGAATGACCTTGCCTTCAGCAAAAAGCTTTTCTTTCGTTGAAAAATATGTCTTGCAACTATAGGAAACTTACACAAAAATGCGATTTTCGAGAAAAAAAAAAAATTAGCTTGCGGTCATCATTTTGTACGGAAGAAAGCCTGAATATGATTTTTATAGGCGCAAATCCCAGTCAAAAATTAATTATTTTACATATAATTTTTGTCCTTTGTCCGAAATCGGCCTTTCACATACTTTATGTAACTAACCGATGGTTTTTTTTTTTTTTTTTGTTTTCTCATTAATGCGATATTCTGGTAGTTTCGTATTAAGCTTAATAAAACATTTGTAGTTATTCGTTTAGAAATTAGAAAATGTTATCAAAATAAACAACAACGTTGTCATAAAAACACATTAAAGCATTAATAAAGTGAATCAGATATTTTAAAGTGAATGCAAGCATATTCCAATAAAAGGCAAGAAAACACACAATGACAAATGTCCATGCCTCGCTAAGAGGATGTAATTTATTTTAATTAAACCTACGTGAATAAAAGGGACGAAAAATCCTTTTCTAAAGAAACTACAAAACCAGATAATTCTCTCTCTCTTTAACTCTCTGTCTTTCTCTCTCTCTTTCTCTTTGTCTCTCTGTCTCTCTAACTCTATATCTCATCTATATCGGTAAAAAAATCCAAAAATTATTTTTGAGAATTTAGAAATTCCTAACAATTTTATTCACCAAATTTGAATGAAGATAATGTAACGCCAAGTGTTAAGCACATTCTGTATGCATTTTATGAAGAGTACAAGTATGTAACTGGCAGAAAAAGTTATTTCCACAAACGGATATGCAATGTCCTCAATTTCGCTTTCCCTATGCGAAACATGTTCCTCGCATAAAGAGGCCATGCATCTTCAAGTGTAGTCGAAAGTTTGTAGCTTAGTTTCACAACAAAAATAACAAACTGAATTGTATTCTCTGTTTTCGTTTGTTGTTTTGAGCTTCCTAGTAAAGAAGCACACACAACATATTGCCAAATAGGGCAAAAGTGAAAGTGCAGGCAATTGGGCGTCGCTCTACTTTTAATATCAGTTCAAAGTACACTCGCTGCTGCACACGAATTTATCAGTGTTCTTGACGCTATTTTAATTGGTCAAAATATCTCTTCTCTTTGGTTTTGCTTTCCTGCAAAGAACTACTAATAAAATGTGATGACGAGTTTCGCGGAAACTATTTTTAATATGATGAGAAAGAAAAACCAACCAACAAAATGAAAAATAAAGAGATATTAAAATAAAAGCTAAAAAGCTATAAAAGAAAAACAACTAGCAAACGAAAACAAACATTAACAAAGAATTACTAATTAAATATTGTTTAAGTAAATGAAAATCAAATGATCAAGTAACAAGAACGAAAGGCAACGAGTAATAATCATCAGCATGTTGTGCTTCAATATAAAATTAGCGACAATTTTTCGCACTTATCGCGATGAGAGTGTACGTGACCGCAGCCAAAGTCTTTGTGCACCACCCACAACAACACGAGCACCACCACATAAGGACATAGGTGCTTTGCGTGTATTGCAACGTCGTGCATCGAGTGTCATGTAAGTGTAATAATGCCTTGCAGCGATAGATTTTTATTTAATTACAATACAACGAACGGTCAATCCTGCTCTACAAGTAACCAATGTATATGTATGTGCGTATGCAATGCGATGATTATTGTTAATACTATGTTCGGTTGTAGAGCGATTATATCAAATGTCTTTCTTTAATAAAAATTAAATTTAAATCTTTTAAATAATGAAAGACAAGCGAACACATAACAAATTCCAGAAAATTCCTATGCACATGGAGCTGCATCGGGCGGAAGAGAGACTCGCTTAGAGCAAAATAGAGCATACGAGAAGGGCACACATTGACAAAAACTAGAATACATTTTTTCTTCTTTCAAAGTGCCTCTCCATTCTCGGCTGCTGGAAACTCGGAAACTGAGATCGGAGCGGAACTCAACTCAACGGCGTCGACCAGGTTTTAATTTGAGTTTATAAACTAAGCTTAAAACTCCGCCTCATGTCATTGCGGGCATGTCTACACTGAATCAAAATTGATTTTACGCATTTGTCCGTCCGTGCGATAGACCATATGGCCATCCATTTATGACTTGTTATTGGAAATTTTATGATGAATGATGAAAATTAGCATGAAGCACGTATGTGTATTTACCTAAGTTTACAAGTCAAATTTGAAAATGTACCTGTCAGCTTGTCTGTGTATTCAGCAGTTCAGTTTTTACTTATCGACAGGCTCCTCTTGTCTCTTCCCCCTGCTTATTAGAATGTTCATTGGTCAGTCTGTTCGTTTATGCTGATATCGCTGATATGTCCCTCTGTCTATCGGCTATCAGAACATGAATCCATTTATTTTTTATTCTATGGATCGTTCATTTATATATGTGCGATTTTTATGTATTTACAATCGTGCGGCTATCTTTTGTCCATCTATTACATGGATTTAATAATATACGAAACGCAGGCACTTAAAGCGAAAAAGGCACTTAAATGATTCTTTATTGAACTTTGGAATTATTTTTTAAAATATTTTAAATGGCATTCATTCGTGCCAAACGCAATGCAATGCGGCTTTGCGGGTAGCTCAGTTCAAGTTAAGGGAACGTAAAACACAACGTATACTATAAAGCAAAGAGCTGCCTTTGTTGTTTTCGTACGGAAATAAATATATCTTTAGGTAAAATTTTCTATTGTGTTTTATATAGAATATAACATCACGCTATGCCTAAAGCCTTCTTATATGCCAAACATTTATGATTTACATACATATGTGTATTATACATATGAGGTTTTGTAAAAAAACACTTTCAGAGAAGAGCACGAAGTTATGTTATTTTAGTTATTTTTATCGGTTCAGAAAAGAATTTTTCGGGTCTTTAGTAAGGTGGATTATGCACAGAATGATATCGATATATATTAGAAACCTAAATGAAGTAACTGCCTAAGCAAATTCGTTTTAATTATATCGAGGTAATTAATCGAGGACTATACTAGCTTTAAAAATTTTATATATAAACCGAAACCGCTTTACTTATGTCCTTGCGTTACATTGTTCTCTTATTGAAATTCTCAAGATGGGAAAAATGAAGAAAATACACTGAAATAGAATATAACTGTTCTCAACTTGCAAGCGTTTTTCAAGTGCGAAACAGAGCGTAGCCAGCTAAGGGGTAATGCCATTGTACCAGCAAAAAAAAAAAAAAAAAAAAAACAATTTTTTTATTAGCAAAGTTCGTGGTAGTTTTGTCCGGGCAATCCGTACTGCGAACTGAAAAAACTATTGTACTCGTGTAGGCGTGATATCTAAGGAAAAAGGCGGTGACTAAACATAAGTCGCTCGTTCGTGATTCCAGTAGCTTCTGTGCAGTGACAAGAGATGCTATATATCTTTTCGTTTGCCGTTCTCCAGCCTTTTGCTTCTAATGACAATCCAATTTTTTTTTTTTTTTTTTTTTTTTTTCTGCTCATTGCTATAACGGACTATTACCATATCTTCTTGGAAAGCCCCCGCAACGGCTAGGGTCCCTCGGGCTCGCCTGTTAATTAAACACTCAGCCCTTAAGAAAAAGCAAAATAAGTAGATAGATAACTTTATCGTTTTTACCTGTGGAAATCGTTGGCCAAGATTAACGCAACCACCTAATAATTGCGTTGCTTCTGCTTTATATATATGTATGTGAGTGGATCTTTTAAACCGATCATGTGTATCTGAACCACCTTTAAATTAATCTAAATTTCGTTACTGTGTGACGTTAGTAGTGTGCAACCGACTCTTTTTTTGTGCAGATATTATGAGGTCACCTACAGAAGATATTTTTGGAAATATTCATCGTTGCACCTGCTGTAGTTTGTGAGTAATATTTTTGCATTGGAAACATGTGGTGTCCTTAACTTAGTTGCACTCTAATCCTTAAAGGACCGTTTTCCTGCATTTTCAATATCAACCGGCACGGAACACATATCTATAATTTCGTTAAATTTGATTATTGTAGCCACGAATATGCTAATCGCGTAACGACATGTACATAATGGTAACGGCGATCGGACATGTCTAAATCAAACCAGAATTTGATCTTGATCAAGAATACATATGCGTCCTTCATAGATGGACAAACATCGGATGCATAGACGAACAGACACGCTTAGATCAATTCAGATTATCATTCGGTAGAATAAAACATGATTCCATCTCAAGCCCTTCTGCGTGTTGCATACGTCCGCATTAACTTAATATACCCTATACTAACACCGGTGTTGGGTGTAAAGATGAGGGGAGAATGGTTAAAAGACTTTTTATCCTGTTGCACATTGATCTGTTTACGGGTTTGACTTTTCTTTAAAGCTAATCGCTTAGTGCAAAGAAGGAATTTGAAAATATGTTCGAGTTCCTACTGGGCTTTTTCTGTCATACTCATACGCTTTCAGTGAAGGGATCGAAAATATTGCGACCTTTGTTCACTCTATATAGGAGACGAAGTTTAATGCAGTCCGAGTTGAGTTGCATTCAACCAGCGATTTTGTAATGATGTTGTAACAAACAAGCGGTCGTCACGCTGTCTTTGAACACATTTTCGGTCGCATTTTCCTCGCCGAGTATAATCACCGATCTCTTGATACCGTTGATATACACTTCGAATAGCACATCTTAGCAACTGCGCGCGGACAAAGCGAAAGGCCTAAACCATTCGCCAAAGAAATAATCAAAAAGTTCCCTATGCACTTATCAATGCCATAATGTAAATGACAAACCGAAATTTGTGTTTCGAACAATTATTACATAATCACTCGCTGCTAATAATTTTTTTATGGCTTTTCGAACATAAGACTATATTCTCGAAAATTGCTTTCATCCTTCTTAGTCACATGTGTTAGTTACGTATTGAAACACGTTGATATGTTCTTAAGAATTTAATCGAGATGGTATTACGTTGTTTGAAATTTCCGTTCTTCTGTTAATGATAAGTTAGTGACATAACTACTTATCTATGAATTTTGATTTCTTGAAATTTATATATATGTGTGTGCATATATATATTTAAACTGACGTGAAGGAAAGGAAGCCAATGGTATGTTTATAACTATATGATAATATTTAAAATATGAACTAACACTAATGCTTTATGAATATATTATAGACGTAGGGGACAAAAATTTAGTAAATAAATGTATACGAATGTACAAAATCAAAATTTAATCAGAATTTTGAAATTATACTCATTTTGATAACCTAACGTCATCAACGTTAAACAATAATTCAATTAATTTGACTATGAGCTATACAAATAACATATATTATAGTAAAGTGTAACCTAAATTTATTCACATCGTGTTCAACCTTCCGCCAAGTACTTAAGCAGCGTTACATTAAAATTTTATTATCCAACAACAGCAAAAAAAAAATAAAAAATAAATAAATAAAAAATAAAAAGCAAATAGAAAAATACGCTGGCGTACCTTTGTGCTTAAATACTAAATTAAATAGCATAAGTATTTGTGTTTGAGGAATAATAATGAAAAAATATAATTAGAAAGTCGACTACTGTTTGTATTTCTCTTTGTGGACTTTCAAAATTTTCGTACACAGTCTGAAGCACATAAGTGTACATTATGAATATACGCTTCTAATCAAAAGCAGTATAAACATGAAAAATATTACCATTTTCCACCGAAATCTAAAGCATACAAAAAAAAAAAAATCTCACCAGTCTTTACACGTCAGGTAAGTGCAGAGTGATGCCATTCACCGTCAATTTTTAATAGTTCGCATACAGCGGAGACTATAACTGCAAAGAAAAAATTTCTATGGAAGGACATCGTCAAAGATTGGGAGAAAATCAAAATGCATCAGGAAAATGTAAATAAAAAACACATTTTCGGGCAAAAGGAATTTCTTCATTGCAAGAATATAATATACATTATATACTTTATGCCATGCATTTCTATGGCCATCAAAAGCAGTTTGGTTTCATTCAATGGGCTAGATTAAACCATGATCTTTCGATCTTAGAACTCTCACGTCTACAAAAAAAATCTACAAAATAAGACAAGTAAAAGTCAACAAGCAGCGGCCCATAGATCCAAGTTAACCAATTTAGAGAAATTCACTAAAAGCAATTACTCATATGACGAGTTTTCGAATTAAAGTTTTACTCTAACCAAGCGTGTTAGCGCAATAGATTTTATTAAAATATTTAGAATATTGCGGCTGTAGCTTGAAGACAAGCAAGACGAATACATGGATAGATGGACGGACAAACTTAGGAGGGTATAATGAAAAGTGAAAAACGTCTATTTCAAGCGCTTCTGTTTAATGCATACATTCGCACGTAGTTGGAATAACTTTGTACCGCAACTGGTGTAGGGTATAACAAGCTAAACCCCTCTTAAACATTCTGCACCACTTTGCGAGATACAATTGTTCATTAATTTTTGTGATAATTCACCAAAAATTGCACCTTGTTCCTAATGAAAGGCACGCTTTTCATGGAAGCCATTATATGGAAGCTTGCCACAGACTTGAATTTACATGACCCAAATTTAAGAAATTTAATTAAGTACAAATTAGACTTTATTGCTCAATAAGGGCCTAATTTTCATGATTATCCCTATAACGGGAGATATCTAAAATGTAGACTTATGTAGTGCAAGCTTGGTGTACTTCATTTTTATGTTGATTTTTTTATGAAACAATTTTTGGCGCGAAATATTAAAAATTAGACCTCTTTGCCATATAAAGATTACATTTTTATGGAAATGATTATCTGCCCCATGCGATCCAATTTTTTTGCATTGATTTAGAATGTCAAACTACCACTACTTAGCGGTTTTTGTCGACTAATTTGGTAAATTGGCATTTTTTCCCTATAACGACTTTTCCAAAACGAAGCATTGTATGAGGAATTCTCGCAAAAGTGGTCCGATCCATTTCATTTTTAGTTGGGTTCGCTTTCAGGTCAAGTAAAATATCTCAAAAGTTGCGATATATAGATCGAACACAGAAATAGGTGGACAGACCTCGAATGGATTAACCATCAGATCAAAAGGTTTCAGAAAGAGTGTCTGAATCAATCGGTATAGTAGGAGGCGACCAATTTTGTAGGGAATAAAAACGCAAAAATATTTGAAACAAAAGTTTAACACATGGTGCGAACTCGGTGTGTCGGTTTGGAAGGACCGGCTGTTACAGCTTTGCTGATTTGTATTCCCTTGATGGCTGGAACATTTAATTGAACCTAACAAATGTTCTTAGCAAATTTTAGCGTTTCTAGCGTCTATAGCGTGCATGTTGTTCACATACACACAATACTTTAAAATTCCTGTATGTGAAATTTTCGTCAAGCATTTTATACATTATTCAGAATGCGTGTGTCAACGGGTCGCGGTCATTTTTTACGTTTGATCGATTGATTTGACGTAAAATTATGTATGCAAAACTTTAAGTTTTCTTTAGTGGTTTTTAATATAGATGATAGTGTTCGAGAAGCGCCCACATACCTATACGATTCACTTAACTTCGAATTTTGTATTAACGAAAGCAATAAGTGCTTTACAAACTCCCTGCGGAATATTTTTAACCCTTACAAACGAAATAAACTCAACTAATAATAATTAATTATGATGTTAACATATTGGATTATCTGGAATCTAGATGTCTATGCAAATAGTCTTGTCGTCAATATTAGTGCGTACGAAGCATTTTACACTTTAAGCTATTGGGAAAACTTTTGCTAACACATCCCTAAATTATTATTACGCAAAAGGAATGCGTTTACATCATTCCGTATACGACAACAAGCCATTTATGTTGTAAGAGATCCTGAAAGATTCATAGCTAATATTATGGCATAGTGCGTGTGTATGAAATCTCTGTCTTTCATATCATAAAATGATAATAAATAAATTTTTAACATTTCAACTATTAATAATTGGATTATTTAAGACCTTTTAAATCCTCGTACTGTGGTAAAAAGGTTACGTAACGAATCACGTTTACATTAAGGGAGAACGTGTGACATAAAACTTATGCTAACTTTACTCCTAACGATTAAATACAATTTAACAGTTTAATATAAAGTAAGCAAAAAAAAAAAAAAAAAAAAAAAAAAATGAATCTCTAAACCATGTCATTACTGCTGGTTTCGCTTTACTAGAATGTGTCAAAATTATAATTAAATTTTGTAAACCAAAAACTAAAACAAGAGAAATAAGACAATCCTTTTCTTTCTCTCTTTCTCTCTTTGTCTCTATCTCTCTCTCTCTCTCTCTCTCTCTCTCTCTCTCTCTCTCTCTCTCTCTTTCTCTTTCTTTGTCTTGGTCTCTATCTCTGTCGCTCTCTCTTTATCTGTGCAATAATTACAGTTCATCCGCCACTGAGCTTATATCGAGACGTGGAGTATTTTCCCGACAACATTACGGTTCAGTCGATCAGGTATGTCATCCATCTGTTTATATAATTAAGAAGTAAACACAAAAGCCATTGATAAATGATAAACTAAAAGTTTCAAAAATTTCATGCTTACATATCAATTTTTTGTATTTTTTTTTTCTATTATCACATACATACATGCATGTATGACACATTCATACCAAATGTTTGGAAAGTAAATCCTTAAAAGTTTTCTCACTAAAAAATTTTCGACAAAAAACTAACATACGCAAGAAAAACTTATGTCGAAAATTGTACCAAAAGAAAAATTTATTATTTGCTGCAAAAACTTGTTAGTCTACAAAAAGTTTATCTATAATATGAAGATGATATAAATTGTATACGCATAAATATAAAACGACAATGTCGTATAATGTTTAACTAAAATTTATTTCATCTCACTCACGTAATAACGTTTAAACGTAGATTGATGGTACTGTTAACAACAAATTTTGCAAAAGGTGTACCTGTCGTATCCAAGCGTTTATTGTAGAAAAGTAGAAAAAGTCCTCCTTGAAGCTATCCTTTGATATTCATCAGCCATTGAAAATATATAATAATCATTTAAGTTTTTCCGTTGCTTGTAAGCTCAGACCTATTATATAAGAGTTTGTTGTCTTTTCAAAATAAAATTGAACAAGTAAGAAAATTAAATGCTGTTGGGAACGATTCTTTTATACCCATCACCATTATTCTATAAGATACTGGAAAAGAGGAAAACAATAAATTGGCATACTTTATAATATTGAATGGGCGTGGCTGTTTTTTTTTTTTTTTATTGTTTCTATTTTTGTAGAATAACTTTGCGGAAATTTATATCGGGTATCTGATGATGGTTTAGCAGCAGCAAGAAAAAGACACGAAAAACGAAGGCGTTTTCAGTTTTAATTATATAGACGTGTGGGCGTTATATGCGTCTTTCTTCTTTTGCAAACAAAACAATGTTTACTGCAGATAATGCTTAGTTGGACAGATGGATAGACGGTCATCTTTTTAGGCGGATCTCGAATCTGTAACTAGGCAAAAGGTGTTGAAAATTGAAATGAATTATGACGGACCGAACGGATCGACGGAAGTGTTGAGCGGATTAGTTTTAAATCCTTTTACCACCAATTCATATACGAATTGTTATAAATGCTCCTTAATCAGTCATCACCTCGTTATACAATGGATAGATCGGCCCTCTCTATATACATTATAAATTTGGTACATGGGCATGCTTTGATCGAAGGACAAACTCTATTGAAGATGGATGGACTTTTACAATCTCTCGCCGTAGAATGCCTCATTCTCAAAATATCGGAAAAAATTTCTGAACATTGAAGTATGAATTGGATGCATCACACTTTAGATAGAACCCTCTCGCATACAACTACTTCTACGAAAAAGAAGCCCTTATAGACCAATAAATTTGAAATTCTCATATTTCATGGGTGGTAAGTTGGTCCATAATATTAATTCGACATAAACGTAGGTGTATGGTTGGAATTCTCTTTCGTGTAAAGATATTTTCCATTTTATCTTTAATTATGCATATGGGTATATAGGTATATGGGTATAATTGCGAAAATAATAATTAAATAAAAATTTCTCTCGGTAGATAATGCGGGTAAAGCACATTTCATTATCCTAGGAAAGTAAACAGATGAAGAGCTGGAAGAATTGCTGAACATAAACATTTTTCTCCTTCCATATAAGCACTATCTGGCAAAGGATACTTTCGCATGAAAACGTATACCCACTTGCTCTCCTATTACATATAGGGTAGAGTAACAGTGCGAATAATTAATTATTCGGCTAAATTTAGAAGAGTTGTTGTATTTTTATTTTTATTTATTTATTTATTTTTTTTTTTTGAAATTGATTAATTTGATAATGACTTGACAGAACGGTGTGCCAAATTTTATTGCATGACCGTGTGAATACCGTGTGTACCATCTCAATTATTAGTCTGTTGTAAATTGCATGTACGATGGTATTCAAGTTGCCATTTGCTGTTAGGTTACTAACGAAAAAAGTTTCACTTCTTTGCTCATTTTTTTTTTTTTTTGTAGTTTTTTATTTCAATGCCTAAGCTATTATCGGTTCGCATATGACCACTGGCCATTAATCTGTTGAATTTCAATAAGACTTATTGATCGATGTATAGGCTGCGAGAAAGACCAGCCAAGGCACAGACTAATCCCAAACCGGATAAATTAGGAAATAAGCGGATTATAGTTCGAAAGGATTGACATTTGACTGGAAAGAATCAATAGACTGGATGCTGATATGGATCGATACATAGGCAGAGAAGCAAGGGGGTGGCTCAATGATCCGAGACTCAAACAAGTAAATCGATGCATACATAAACTCAGAACAGATGAACAGGTAGATATAGACCTCAACTAACCAGAAATAATTAATAGCTGGCTGGCTAAGCTGACGCAAAGACTGACACTTGATTAATGTCGTGCATATATTTACACCTATTTATGGCTGCCTTAAGTTATTAAGCCTATTAGTTTCCCTCAATAGTGCAAACGGAAGACAAGTGCAATTAATAGTTTCACATTCCCTTGTGACACTACTAAAGGGATTAAAGTGAAGGTAATTAAAGACGGTATAAAAATGTATGTAAATGAAGCTGAAAAAGCGCACCAACAAAGCCATCTTTTTTTTTTTTTTTTGTTTTTTCTTCATTTTCTTTCTTCACTTGAAAGTTTACAGGGTCGTTTACCCGGTTAAGTAAGAAATATGAATTGAAAATCATAGCAGCGCTCAACGTGCAAATGGAAGCGCAACCTTAGACAATCTGTAGCGACAGGAAAGAAGAAAAATGATTAAACTTCATTTAGCAGGGATGGTCGGTCGTCTTCGGTGAATCATTTTTTTGATTACAATTTTATCATAATTATACGTTTGCTTACTTGCTTACTTGCTTGCATGCTCTCGATTTAGATTTGAATCAATCCTTTCATGTAATCAATTTAATCTCTGACGTAAGCACCCAATGATTTTTAAACTCTCAAACACTCTCCCTTGTAAATTGCATATAATACACATAGTCATCGTAAAGGCGCGATTCAAAATCGGCTGAACTACATCCCCCTATGCACTGGCTGGCTGGCTGGCTGGCTGGCTGGCTGGCTGGCTCGTTTCGTCCTTTTTACGCTCGTAAATTGAATTCGACGATTTATTTCATCCTACTTGGAAAAAGAAAACGCATTTAAAATAATCAAACAAAAAAAAAAAA